TGTTCTGGGACCCCAGTCCATACACATTACATCACCACTTTACTTTCTGCCTTCTCTGGAGAGAAGAAGAAAATATAAGAGTAAATCCTAATTATTTCAACATCGCTAAATAATAGATTCAAAAGCTTTGTTATTCTTGATAACATAAGTCAATATTGACAGGCATATAATTACTTTCCCCTCAGTTCCTAATAGACATCATATGTAATGGGGGGGCTGAGGTGGAGTAGCCTAGTGGAAGACCCGTGTTCGACTCCCCACATGGGTACAATGTGTGAAGCCCATTTCTGGTGTTCCCCGCCATGGAATATTGCTAAAGTGAGTGAGTGAGTAAGTTTAGTTTTACGCCGCACTCAGCAATATTCCAGCTATATGGCGGCGGTCTGTAAATAATCGAGTCTGGACCAGACAATCCAGTGATCAACAGCATGAGCATCGATCTGCGCAATTGGGAACCGATGACATGTGTCAACCAAGTCAGCGAACCTGACCACCCAATCCCGTTAGTCGCCTCTTACGACAAGATAGTCGCTTTTTATGGCAAGCACATGGGTTGCTGAAGACCTATTTTACCCCGGATCTTCACGGGAAGGAATATTGCTAAAAGCGGCGTACAAACTGAACTCACTCTCTCACATATATAATGGGAAGGATTGCTTTTAATAATATGGAGGTCCTTTATGACAGACTATTGTCGTGCAATTTTGCACACATATATTTGTGTGATGATTCTCTTGTGGAGCATGACCAAACATATGGCATCCCACTGTTGTCTCAAAAGAGCCAAGGATTTTGGACACAAGCTCAGCATCAAATCAATTTTGTTAATGGTTCAGTATTGCTGTACGGTACAAGAATAATTGTCAACCAAGCGAAGTTCCCTTTTAAATCGGCACGGGCGCACTAGACTGGCCCGGACCGCGGCCCAGGCTCTGAATACACTCGGCCTAGGCTCGATTATTTACAGACAACCGCCTTATAGGGAGTGAGTTTAGCTTTAGGCCGCACTCAGCAATATTCCAACATGAGGATAGATGGACGCAACTGGGATACGATGACATGTGTCAACCAAGTCAGCGAAGACAACGTCAAGGAGTTTTGCTACATATGTATTCGCTCCATAGAACTTATCAAATGTATCACTGTAAGGTAATGGACATTTATCTAACTCTAACGAAATATTCTTTCAAACATAACGCCTGCCGTGTTTGCCGTTTTCAGAAGAGTCGCCTTTTACGACAAGCATGGTTTAGTGAAGATCAATTCTAGCCCGGATCTTCACGGGTCCGCCGCCATATTAGCTGAGCTATTGCTGAGTGGAGCGTTAAACAACAAAGTAGAGTAATTCGTGGATGGGTTCGTTTGCTGGCGAGTAATGACACTGGGTTTGGGCTGCATTATGACTATGATCAGTGTCACTGACGGTGTAAGGACGAACCTCTTTCCAGAGTCTCGGTAATTACACGTGTAGTGTGAGTGAGTGAGTTGAGTTTTACGCCACTCTTAGCAACATTTCTGCAATACCACGACGGTGGACGTCAGAAATGGGCTTCACACATTGTACCCATGTGAGGAATCGAACCTTGGTCTTCAGTGTGATAAGCGAACGTTTTAACTACAAGGCTAGCCCACCGCTCAAGACCCTTAGTAAAAAGACAGTTCGCCGTTGGGTGATATGTGACACATTGTTCTTCGTTATATTCAGGTCTATTTTGTATTCGTTGTAGAGGTGTGATTTATTATGTTACCGTCATTTTAGAAACCACGCCCCAAGGAATAAACACAGTATTATCTATGAGAATATCTTTATTGGCGCATAAGGTTGAACACTGTATCAACAAAATCTTTTCGGTCTCAAAAAGTCAGTTTCTACTGAAACATTTGTAAATGTATGCGACTATATGTGAGAGAAATGACCACATACCAGACTAAACTAAAAGCATATAAAAATATAATATATAAAATATATACTCTAAAAAGAAACTGTCTACGGATAGACACTAAATACAGTAGATGCGGTTTATTATCCTTACTTGGTATTTTGCATGCTAACAGCGACAGTCAATGAGACAAATGCAAAACGAAAAGCGTTGGTTCGTTCTCAGGGTGTGGACAACCTGAACATTTGCATTCGCAGGACGTGGACAGACGGTGTACCTTTGATGTCGTCTGTTGTTTTTGTAAGGGATTAACTGGTCGGGAAGTGTTCAAATGTGAACTGTTATCCGGAATTGTTGAGGTTTCATGGACTCTGTTCACTCTTGTAAGCATATGACTACGATAGGCGAGTGGGTTCAGTCAGAAATTGTTTTCAGTGTTGATTGATTTCATCAAATATGTTCACTCCTGTAATTATACACCGATAGGTGAGTAAATCTACTCAAACGAGTCAAGAGTCAAGAAATTGTACTATATACTCTTGCAAAATGAAGTCAATCATGCATCCCTTTCGCTTTGGCAAACGTACAGTTAGATAACAAATTATTTCCGACATCTCGAGGTGGAAGATACTTCTGCGTGAATGGGCACACTTACAGAATCCCAAAGAGAAGACGAAATGACTGGTGTTCTTGGCAATGTACCATCAAGGATTCTAAATCAATTGTATCTACCGTCAACGACCTCCTCATACAGCTGTTCCGAATGAAATTGAGGTTTCTCGATGTTTAATAATAAAATACGCCAACCTGCAAGAAAGATACGAGGACATCAAGAACAGATTGAACCGCGGGAACACCTGCGCCATTGTACTTGTCTTATTTATTGAAATTGTTAAAAAAAACGTGTTTCGTTTCCTTATAATTTCACAATTTAGTATTGCCCCAAGTCTTGTAATCACACAGTCTGTCTATTGTCTGTTAATGAGCTCTGTAACGCATTCGCACGAAGTGGACACTTTTTTCTGGACATTGTTTTTACACGACACAGGGTGTCCACGTCCCGACTGACTGACTGACTGACTGAGTTTGGTTTTACGCCGCTTTTAGCAATATTCCAGCAACATCAGGACGGGGGACACCAGAAATGGGCCTCACACATTGTGCCCATGTGGGGATTCGAACCCGGGTCTTCGGCGTGACGAGTCAACGCTTTAACCATTAGGCTACCCCACCGCCCCCCACGTCCCGAGAATACCCAAGTCAAAACATTGATTACACAACAGTCTCGTTTCCTGCTGACTGGGTTCTGTCCTATTGCGCAACTTAGTACAATAAACAGTCTAGAATACATAAATATTCATCAGTATTATTTGATACATGTAAGCACTTGTATATTGCAACACTTATCTGTCGTAAAACGTGCTCTGACAAACGGAAATCTGGAAATCGTGGAAATTTCAAAACTAGGCTCTGCGTATAAACACCCCCGGTGGAAATTCCGGACAGAACTCATAAATGTTTCGTTGGCGCCGGCCTAAAGATAAACGAATCTGGACAAGATAACCCAATGTTCTATGGTGTAAGCACCCTTCAGAATACATTACGAACCGTATGAATTAAGTCGCTTCAAACCAAACGTAGATGTGGATAGTTTTTTCTCAAGATGCCCATGTTAATGAAGGGTAATTCCAACTATACTAGGCACATAAAGAAACTGTGCATACAAAAATTTAAAATCTAAATTTATCAAACCTGTGTAGACACATAAGGATTTAAACTCAGAGATTAGTGACATGTATCCAACATGCATGCACGTGCCACGTTCCGTGACGTCAGTGGGTTCGTCCTTGAGACGTGCAATACGTTGTTGCACGTGCATTCCGGGAAAGAGAAACAGAGCAAATGAATGACACACAATACTGTCACTTTGGAAAGCTCAACCCCTCCTGCCCTTGCGATCGTTCAAAAAATTAAACGGCTATTGAAACGCATAGCATGCCAAGGTTCACGTCTGCACACGTCATGAGGCCATTGGGATGGTCTGTGGGGGAATGTCTAAACGACAAGTGGCTGCGAATTTCCACTGCCACCGGAACACCATTTCTGCACTGGTGAGACGCTACCAGAACACAAATGACGTCATCGATCGGCCACGTTCTGGACGTCCACGTGTAACAACGTCAAGACAGGACAGATGGATAAAGGTGACCCATCTTCCCAAAAGGTTTCCGACTGCAGTGACGACTGCCCGAACCATCCCAGGACTTCGCCGTATCCACCCCAAGACAGTTCGACAACGTTTACGTCATCACGGGATCAGACCACGACGTCCCGCCATACGGCCTATCCTGACACAACGTCATCGACAAGCTCGCCGAATGTGGTGCCGAAATCATGTCTGCAGACCCTTGTTTTGGTGGAGAAATGTTGTTTTTACAGATGAGTCCAGGTTTAAAATTTCCCTTAGTGATGGACGTTAACGTGCCTATAGACGCGTGGGAGAACGTTATGCACAGGCCTGTGTATTGGAGAGGAATCGCTTTGGTGGTGGTTCCGTGATGATTTGGGGTGGAATAACAGCACGCCAAAGAACTCCTTTGGTGATTGTTCAGGGCAACTTAACTGGTGTGGGCTACAGGGATCATATTCTTTGACCTGTGGCAATTCCTTTTCTGCAACGTTATGGCCCTGGGTTAACATTACAACAGGACAATGCCCGCCCTAATACGGCAAGGGTTGCTATGGAATTTTGCAACATCACAACGTTGACTTACTGCCTTGGCCTTCACCTTCACCGGATCTCTCCCCAATAGAGCATGTTTGGGACGAGATGTATCGACGTCTACGCCATCTTCCTCATCTGCCAGGTAACGTCCTTGACCTTGCAACAGAACTTGAGTGAATCTGGCATGACATCCCACAAGCCTTCCTTGCACGTTTGATAGGCTCTATGCGTCGTCGATTCACTGCTGTACTTAATGCCGATGGTGGACATACCCGTTATTGAGCTTGTGACATGGTCGTTTGACCCCTGTCCCGCTTGTGGACTCGTGACGTCATTGTGATTGACTTTTCAATTGAAATTCTCCCGACTTGTTATGGTCTCATGATCCCTCCATAAAAGTTTATATGTACCTTTGACATTGTTATCGTACTTATCAACTGGGATAATATTTTGACAATGCACAGTTTCTTTATGTGGCTAGTATATCTGCACAGTTTCTCAGTGGTCGGGATGCCAACCAGGCTTTGAATTCCTGACAGTTACTAATTTAATTCACAAGTATCTATTCCTGGGAAAACACATAATACACTTGCAATAAACAGATAAGCGTAAAAACCAGTACTTATTAATCTAACATCATAAAATCTGAATATTTGAATACATTGTTTTAAGTCTGTTAATATTTAACGGAATGGTTATTGGAAAGAATATTTTTAAATATATCAAAGAAACAGTCATTCTTAATTTGCTAAGCAATGTGAGTGTTCTATTAACAAGATATGTTGAGATGTTGGTTTGTTTCATCCCATTTTTGCATGACATCAATGATATGTAACTCTTTTAAACTTCTGTGTCAGTTAAAACAATTATATTCTAAGGATTGATAGCGAGTTTTCTCATTAAACCTTTCAGTACATCCCTTGGGTTCCTCGCCTGTAGATTTGACAGACACTGTCGATATGACATCCTTTTCTTGCCTTCTCTACAAGTTTTAAGGTGAGGGTCGTCATCCACGTGTTTGAGCCACGCGACTCTGACGTGCTCCTGTACCAAATTCCTGGGTAAACCTTTCACACATCTGCTGATGTCTTGACTGCTTCCACCAGTAAATATGCTGCGAAGGTTCGATAATAAGGGCGTCTTCTTTGGCTCTCCAACATAAATTATTTTCCCCTTCCACAGGATTGTGAACACGCCATGGTCTGTTCTGCTGAGGTGTCTTTCAAGTTGAGAATATTCGACACCATCATTCTCAAATAACGTCTGACAACCTTTCTGAAACCAGCATGTGAAATTTATAAAGGTCAGTTCAAGGAAAGTTGGTAAATCATTTAAAATCAATCTTTCATTTCACGAACTTAAATACACAGCGTTTGAGAGACCAATCGCCGGGTTTATGGTGTAACAAATAACGTACGTACGTGTCTAAATCTCAGCTGACATTAAATAAAAATAGCACTGTTTGCCCTGGATCAGTGGTGGTTACACAGCGTAACCATCAGATCGGTAAAACGTAGATAATCAAGGTGACAAAATAACTTCAAAACAGTTTCTAAAAGCTAAGTACCTAAGTTGAAATTATACCTGGATTACTGTTTGCGATTGATTCCGGTGTGTGGTAGAGTCATTTGGTGACTCATTTCGCCTGGAGGGACCTGGCTGGGGTGGGACCGTGGTCAGGCCATCTGGTCTTCTGGATGGGCCCAGTGTTAGTCTGCCACCTCTCCGTCCCCGAGATCGTTCCTTCTCCTCCTCTGGTTCTGTCTTGATGATGAGTTCCGGTCGAGGTTCCACCCTCTCATGCTGACCTGCCGGACACCCGCAATACGTACAGTTGTGTCTGAGGACAGGCTGGGAATACTGTGGACACTCCTCGGGGCAGTCCTTACACCGACCCCGAACATGTCCGTATTTATCTCTGTTGATGTCCGTGAACACTGCCATGTCTAGGAGTAGAACAAGATTAAAACAGTAAGTTCGGCTGTCTGTGAGAATCGGAACTGTAACGGGGGAAAAGAGTAAAAAGCTGTCGCCATCATAAAAGTAAGCCATTACATACTGCAACATTGAGGCGCATCAAATAATATTCAGAATTAGAGGGTCAAACTATTTGTCACTTTCGACACTTAAAAGTTTTGGTTGATCTAGAAACTGTTTGTCTTGGTATCAACGAGTTCTGAAATTTTTTTAATATTTTTTTTGGACAAATGACATTTTATATTTTCACAGTATCATGTGTTTGTTTATTCCACTCTGATGTACCCGTGTGTCGGTTCCCATAATAGATGCGTGTTTGTTTGCTTTGACATTGAAGCTAAATGTGTTTCATGTGTAATCTATATACTGATGCGCGTCCATAACATTCTCAGTGGGCAAGGGAGGTAACCTGGGGGTTAAATTGTTTGCTCATCAAGCGGATGACCGAGGTTCGATTCCACCCTGTACACGTTCTGAAGCCAATTTCTGAAATAATTTCACTGTCAAGTGTCAGTTTACGTTTGTACGTTTTCTACGTGTCGCGAAAACTTTAACGGACCAGCAACACAAGAAGACGTCCACCTTAGCTGATCAGAAAGCTGCCTTCACTAGCTTTATGGCATGTCCCCAGACTCCTGTTTAGCGGCGCTCGCTCACTCATGAACAAACGAACTGCCTGGCTATCTTAATGGGCCATCAAACGAAACCACCATTCATTATGTTCGTAAAGGTATTCATTTTCATGAATAGTGTTTTACTCTCTGTCACATTCAGACAGAGAACTAGGCTTGGTCGCGAGACTGTTTGACTGTGGCTGTTCCCTATACGCCCTTATGGTAGCTGTCATAACATTACAAATCAATTGTTTGTACAATTGGCGCAGATCAGGAGAGTGCCCGGGTTCTCCACCGGAAGCACAGCCTTACTGACACTCTGGATAATGCAGAGGGCTGCAGTGTTGGGGAGCGTACATATTCTCCAGAAAGTTCCTGGTGGGTTCGACTAGGCAGCGTTTCCTGGGAGAAGTCCCATCCCCTGTGTTTGCTGCATGTAGAGGGGGCAAGGGCCCTGAGCTGATGATGAGCCTTACCAGCCTGACTGTGCTAGGATCGCCCGAACCCTCTCTGCTGCAATTTTATCTTAATCTGTAAAACATAATAATGAGTATTTATAAAGCGCTATATCCATCAACAAGGTGCATGCTCAAAGCGCACAACTTGAGAGAAAAGACACACGTAATGAAATAACAGTATCAAATACAACCTATGAAAGATAGTCTGAAATAAGGCCTATGAATAATAGCAGGACAAAATGTCTATGAATTAAAGTCCATGAATAATAGGGTGCAATAAAGTCTATGAATAATAGCCTGAAAGTAGTTGCGTCTTGAGTTTTGATTTGAATGCAGTTAATGATGATGAAAGTTTGATGTCCAGAGGACGTTTGTTTCATAGTCGAGGAGCTGCGTGACTAAAGGACTTCTGTCCATAGCTGGTATGATTATACTTTGGTATGTTCAGAAGATTCAAATTTTGAGATCGAAGAGTCTTTATAGAGATGTTGTCTGCTAGCATATTAGAGAGATATGATGGTGCCATGCCATATTGACATTTGTACACCATGCATAGAACTTTACAGTTGATTCTCGCTTCAATGGGAAGCCAGTGCAAATCCTTAAGAACTGGCGTTATGTGCAACTATTTTGGTGTTCTCGTCACTGTCCTGGCAGCAGTGTTCTGGACCTTCTGGAGTTTGTGCAGCTGACGTTTACTGATTTCTAGAAGTAAGCTGTTGCTATGGTCAAGTCTATGAACAAGCATTTGCACCAGTGTTTTAGCGGCATCTCGTGTTATGGGATGGCGTAGTTGAGTGATACAGCGGAGATGGTAGTAACACATTTTACAAACTGTATCTATTTGCAGTTCCATAGTAAGCTGAGAATCAAAGATGACGCCAAGGTTTCTTACAAAGTCAGCAAAAGGGGTTGAAGCATTTTCAACTTCAACAGAGGTAACGGGAATGTCACGCAAATCATGTTTAGTGCCTATCAACAATACCTCTGTTTTCTCATTATTTAGCCTCAACATATTTGATGACATCCAGGACTTGACATCAGTTGTGCAACCAGTAGTACGTTGCAGGGCCTTCTGCACATTCTCGGGTTTGAAGCTGTCAATCAGTTGACTGTCATCAGCATAAGATTGATGGCCCATTTTATCTTGATAAACAGGACATTTTAATACAAAATGGAATTCATCCTCTAAATCATTGGGACATGACAGGCATGTTCTATTGTTCAAGTGAATATTATTATACCTTCCTGTTTCAATATATAATTTATGTGAAGAGAGTCGAAATTTAGTCAAATATTTTGTATAAATTGCAGGAATTGATTTTTGAAGATAATATTGCAATTCGACGAGGTATGGTCGGTTTACTGGTGATCTTTAATTAGGTGGTGATAGGCTGAGGAGATAAAATAACCTTGATCCCGGTTCATGGTGGGGTTGAAGCGTTGGGTTTTTATGGCTTCAAGAAGTTTCCTAATCTTATAGTCTGACCGGCTGGTTTCCAGGATGTGGATGTTGTTCCAAAGGATGACATGAGATTACCATCTCAGTGTACATCAACTTATCTGTTGTATAAACTGATTCTGCATATTGTTTTAATCACTATCACTCTGTACATCAACCTACTCTGCTCAAATCACTAATTAGTAATCCAATGTATATCAACCTTTTCAATTGTATATACACACTATGCAGCTATGTATATATTCTCCATGTTACAACTCTTCGTATCACCTGCTTGATAACGGTGTTAATACCTACACCGAAATGTCGCACTCATTGCGATAAAGAAGTTGACTATCCATAGAACTTGGTTTTCCTTCATCTATACAACTTCTAAAATGCCTCTCAAAGAAGTTATGGTTCATCTATGTAGGCATTGTGAATGTTATCCCTGAAGTGTGGTCTTGGGGATAGTGGAATCATAAGGGAATTGCATCGGACATCATTTTTGCCACTGTCAAAACCAATTTTCAAGTGTAAACTTTCTTTAGCTCTGCAGTTCATAAACATTACTCATGCATTTCCAGAGTGATGAGAGACTATGGTTTTACTCCGTTTTAGGCATATTCCAGCAATATCCAGAAACCAGAAATGGCCTTCACACAAAATGTGGGGAGTCGAACCCTGGTCTGCGGCGTGAAGAGCGAGCGCGTGAGTGAGTGAGTGAGTAAGTGCGGTTTTAAGCCGCTTTTAGCAATATTCCAACAATATCACGGTGGGGAACGCCAGAAACACATTATATCAATGTGGGGAATCGAACCGGGTCTTCGACGTGACGCGAGGACGTTTTAACCACTAGGATAGCCCACCGCCCCGTCGGCGTGGAGAGCAAACGTTTTAACCACTTTGCTACCCCACCGCCCCAGTTTTAACCTTTATCATACTGGTACTAGATCATATTTTCAGAAACACTTCAAAGGACAAGGTATGATAAAGGCCCTTATTGGCCCACAAAATTTCATGATATTCAAAGTTCTACAACATGATAATTTTAGCATAAAAAATGCTAAATAAATTGTTGAAATTACCTCCATATGGTTTTTTTATATGTTTTAGTGCTAGTTTTTTCCTCTTTGAAGACCTTAAAGTTAACCTATTTTACAATATCTTTGAGAAAACTGCTGCATTTTCATATTTTCAGAGTGATAAAAAAGTGTGAGCAAAGCTTGACCCATCCCAATTTTCTCACCACACATGAAGAGAGTAAATTAGAATGCACTCCTAAAAATTGTGGTGGGTCACGCTTTTGCTCATATCAAAATGTTTAAAAAGTACATTTTTCTGTTGTATGAAATTGCCCCATACAACATCTCAAAATAAACATTGGCGTAAAAGTAATATCTCTGAAAACTATCCGTCACATTTACACAACTATACCATGATTCATTCCTATTTTTGGATGTTTTAGGGCACTAAAATGAACTTATCAATTGTGTTATTAAAAATTCAATATCGTAAGGGACTCTCAAGGCTGATTACTTTGAGGTAAAAAAGAGGGTAGTATTTTGGAGGACCCTGTTGATCACTGCTCGAAAAATAAGAAGCCATCAGAAGATTTTCAAAATATGATCAGGCGGCATTCTAAAGGTGAGAATCTTTGTAATTATGATAAAATTTTATCATATTTGTTCTATCATCTGTTTAGCAACCCCTCTGTGTCACCTGTCACTGTCAAATAACACTGGCATTCCACTGGATGTAACTGTGTATAAAACATACACATTTTAACAAAAATAATGTACCTTGATGTTTTCTAGGATATATCAGGCTACATTTAATATTATTAATAAGAACATTGTTATCAAGGTCTAGCAGATGATGAAAAGCAAGCAGACGTCAAGTGACACATTGTTGCAAAGTGTGATATATAAGCTTAAAGTGACAAATAATAATAGCAGAATCTGTAGCCTAGTGGTTACAGTGATGGCCTCTCAATTTTTTTCTGTTATCAGACATTCAGGTTTCAAATCCTAATGTTTTTTCTTTTCTTCTTTTTTTTCTTCAAAAAGTTAAGTTAAACATTGTAAATTGGCTTGACAAAACTTGTACTTGAAATACAAATTTTGTAAAAACAATTCTTAAGTTTGGTAATGTAAGTTACACTGTTCAAACAAACTTGAATTAACATCATGTAAATCTTGTTTAAGCCTGAAGACACTGACTTTTCCACTTTGTAGAAGGTAAGCATTGTTTCAAAATGTTAGTATGGTAATTTCTTTAAGTAAATATTTACAAACTGTCCAGAGCTGTTAATTATTGGTGCACTGATCAAACAAATAATTAGTTTATGGATATTTTGTGGGCTGCCAGTCAATTACCGATAACCAAATCACATAATCAATAAAAGCATTCACTATTTCTTCTTAAAAATATGTTTACAGAATCAATGACTATTG